CAACCACACATTCTTCAATAAAATAATATTTTCCATCATATCAATAATATTTCTCATCATATCACTAATCAAAATCAATTCTTCCCCCAAAAAATCCCTACCAAACAAGCTCTTATAATGAATCGGTAATTGCCAAGGTTTTAAACGGGAGAATTTCCAAAATGACCTAATCAAATGGCTTATTTGGATTTTTTGTGTAAAAGTCAAATTTGCCCTTAATGAAATGGTTTTTTTCCCCAAAATTCCTACCAAACAAGCACATAGTATGATTGTTTTTAATCATACATTCAAACCCTGAGGGGTTGCTCAATTGGTCAGTTCTTGAGTTTGCTCCCTAAGGGTCACCAGTTCGAGTCCCCTCAGGACCACTGAGGTGAGTACCCGACCGTAAACTTCAGCGCCCCGTGAATTAGTCGAGATTCGCCCAAACTGGCCCAGACATTCATGATTATTAAAAAAAAATCATACATTCACACAATAAAATATTCTGTACGTAAATTAAATTTTTTTTTTTTTTTTTAACCACACATCCTTAAAAAGAATCATTATTCAAAATATTATTTTGAAAAAACTAATGACCATTAAATCTTAATGGTCAATTCAGAATACTGAATACAAGGTCCAAGAATTTTCAGTTGTTATTTTCGTCCTCGTGTATAGGCAGAGGTGGTAGTACTTCATGTCGGTGGAATTGAAAGGTTTTTAAATCGTTAATGCCAAAAATCCTAAGAATACTAAAAACTTTTGACAAATGATTAATCAATGGTATATTCTTCGACAACTTCTAAATTAATGAATGTTAGCTTCTTAATGGTCAATTTAGAATACAAAATTCAAAGTATTTTTCAATTGTCAATTTCATCAAAACGTATACCAAGTGTAGTAAGTACTTCAGGTCGACAGAGTTGAAAGGCTTTCAAATTATGGATTATTTTCACTTGTTATTCTAGATTTTCGAAGTTGGGTAATGTTTATATTTCGAGCAACATTACGCATATCGAAAATGGTTAACAAACACTTTGACCAAACACTCATAATAGGTGGAGGGCGCACATTTTTTCTGAATTTTTTATTCACGCGGGGCCCGCATGCATGTGAGAGGTTGTCAAACTCGTTGTCATCCATTTTCGGTACAAATGAAAAAACCCTTATATCTCTCTCATAATATTATTTTTTATTCAAATGATAAGAAGTGGGTTTTTCTTGTCAAGTCGAGTTTTTATCTAATCAAAATTTAGTCCCTGTTTGACCCACATTATTTTTTTCATTCTCATTTTTCTACTCATTTTCAACCACATATTTTTCAATAAAATAATATTTTCTATCACATCAATAACTTTTCCTTCATTTTCAACCACATATCACTCATCACATCACTTCAAAAAAATGCACATTCTTTCATTTTAATGTGCATTAAACAGGCTCTTAGTCAACTTGAAAGTCGATCGAACTGAAGAATTTGTCAACTTTTTACCCAAATACTATTGTCGGTAACTCTCAAAAGTCAACCTAAAAGCATCAAAAGCATCCTCAAATTTTTCTAAATATATGATAAGTACAATGAGTTATTGACCAAAATTCCATTTTTTTTGTAATTATCATGATTAACCTTGTCACTTGAGCTCATTTCTAAATTCTAATTAAAAAAAAAAAGGTCTTTAAAAGAATAGTAAACTATATTATCAAAAGTCAACAAAATTATAGCTCAAAGTCAACCATTGACCAATTTATCACATTTTTTCCCCCCACCAATTATCAGTCTTTAGCAAAGCTTAAGTGGGTTCATACAGGACTAAAGCTTAGTAGGTAAAAAAAAAAGTAACCAAGTTATTCAACCATGGAATAATTTTACTTTTTCAAGCCTATAATAAATGAATATTTTCACTTACAAGTAAAAAAAAGTAAGTTTTAATATAAATATTTTTCGTTAATCGAAATAAAAAATCTAGAACTTGTTTGGGAAGTGTTTATCAATTGTTTAAGCCTCCATTTGGCAACTTTTATAAATAATCTCAAAGAGTAAATTTCACTTTAACCATATATTAGAAGGAACTCGAGCAATATTCTCCCACTCGTTCTTATCAATTTATAAATTAAATTGTTTAAAAATTTTATTTTTTTTTGAAATGAAAGCTAAATAATAAATAGATATAAATAAGTGAGTAGTACTTGTGGATCCTTGAAATGTGAATAAAAAGTAATTTGGCCGGTTATAAATACTAGCCAAACATAAACAAAGTAAATTACTTATTTTTAAGAGTACTTTTAAAACGTAACTTTTATTTAAAATCAAATTTTAAGTAGATTGTGATATAATTTTTTGAAATGTATGGTTAAAAAGACGTGTGACCCATAAAAGATGTGGTTGATATTGATTATTTGACTTTAATTTAGATTAAAATCAAGCCCAAACAGACCCTTAAAATCAAACTTCTAAAATGCACGTCTAGACTCGATGCTCGGACAAAACGCTCTACAAAGAAGCCAGACAGGAAACACCTTTTTCTTTAGTGGGTAGAATTTTTTATTTTAAATTTAATTCCTACATATAAGTCCAAGAAAATTCAGTCAACGAGCAATCTGAGACTCCATTATGCCCCAAATAGAGCATTCGTGATTTGGAAAAAAAATAAAATAAAATCGAAGTACTCATCATTCTCCGTCTTGTTTCTCTTTCCAGTTTAGGTTATGTTCATGTCGAGTCTAATTATAGGAATTAATTACTAAATCATTGTAATATTCATGATTTTGAAATTCGTTTTTGTTGAAAACTTGAAAAATAGATAAAAGGTTTCTATAAATTTTTTGAGATATACATCATTTATTTAATATGAAAATAAGTAATTTTTTTACTTACAGTAATAGAAACGTAATAACAAAAAATTAATATTTAGGCTACGTCTGAGTTCTATTTTCAGTGAAAATAAGTTATGTAATGTTGTCGGAAATTCGATTATCACAATCAAAGCCCTTGTTTGTCTACCATTTTTCAAAACATTATTTTCTACAGTTATCAATCTCCACCACACATTCAAATAATAAAATATTCTACACATGCCTTTAGGGCACAACTTCTATTGTTCTACAGTAATCAATCTCCACCATACATTCAAATAATAAAATATTCTACACATAAACCGATAAAGTTTCTTTCGATTTCAACCATACATTCTTCAAAAAATACTATTCATTACACCATTTTCATCACAATAATGGTAGACAAACAGGTACAAAAGAAGAAATAAAAAGAACAGAAAAGAAATGCAGTAGATGAAGCGAGGTATGTCAACGTAGTGATATTTTGGAAAAATGCGTGATTAAGAAGTAAGAAATTTTTTTTATTTAAATATAAAATTATTGACAAATATATAATTAAAAATAAATGTGGAGAAAAATGAATTTTAAAAAAAATAAAAATAAAAAAAAAAAAGCACAAAGATGTACTAATTGAATTAGATTAGGCATGGTCCTTGAGTAGATGAAGAGTAGGAGGATATTTGTGCCAGCTGTTGTTGATGGAAAATGAAGAAAAGACAGTACAAGTACGAATCTATATAATTAAAAGTCTTGAGTGGGTGAGGTTGGTGGGTGAATTTCTAGAGACCGTACGATTCGGGCGTAATTGCCATTATTATGATTTTCACTTTCACCTGTCACTTTACTATTTACCACTCTTCCTGTGAAACTTTGAGTTTCATATCCATCCTTGTGAAAATATATTTTTTCTTTTTTTATTTTCAATTATAAAGTTTTTAATAAAATAATATTACACGTAAATTAAAAAAAATTCTTATTTTTTAATCACATATTTTTTATCAAATTAATATTTAAAATACATTATTAGGAAAATAATGTACATAAAACAGGGTATATGTGTACATTGTGCTTTACACACACCTTCTTACGGTCAAAATCATGTGGGAGATTGTTAACAAAGGTGTGCAGGAGAGTGTACCTGTAGCACGATTGTTTATTTTTTCTTCAATTAAGCTGAATCGTCAAGAAAAAAAAATTATCCACTAGGTTGACCTACATTGGGATCCGCATGAATAAAAAATGTCGAAAAATCTCCCCCACCTCTGTCGTACCCTCCCTGACAGCATAACATGATTGTTTTTTGTTAGATTGGTATATTTCAAGAATTTGTGGTTAAAATATATGAAACATTTTGAATTTACAAATAAAATTATTTTAACAATAGTATGTGTAATTAAAAATAAGTTTAGAGAAGAATGAATTTTAAAAAATCAGGCTCAAATGTGAACTAATTAACAAATAGTTGTTTTAACTAAAACTAATGATCCCATCTATATTACAAAAAAAATAAAAATAAAAAATTATGAGGGTCGCTATTAATTGAAACTGAAGAAGTACTACACGGTTTGAGGTGTGCATGCGACATAAGTGGACGAGCAAGGCAATGAGTGAAAAGAAAAACAAAAGTCCGGGAAGAAAATTTTACTCATTTCCTTCTTTAGAGCATGTTTGAGCCCTCGTTATTTTCTAGGAATGCATTTTAAAATAATATATTGATGGGAATGTGTGGTTAAAAAATTAGATTTTTTTTTGTGTGTAATATTATTTTATTGAAGAATGTATTGTTAAAAAAAGAGAGAAAAAAATATGTTTTGAAAATAATAAATTCCCAAGGTTCTTCCATGGGCTCCTTGCAGACTTGTGATGTGTGTATCCCTTCGACCGTCCCATTTTAAGATTAACAAATTCAAGCATACATTTAGAAAACCAACAGAAAGATGAATTTCTGTACGATATTAATAAAATACGCTGCAAAAAGCACTTGTGAATATGTTCCATTCTTCCTAGTCATGTAAAGTATTAACAGAACCATTCTATTAACTGTATAAACTGAAAAACCCATAGATAATGTAATCTAAAATTCAAGAGAGAACTAAAGAATATCCTATGTGTTATCAAAAAAGGAGCCTCCAAACCCAAATCTCCCAAGCTAACAACCAATAAATCAATTAGGAAACATGGCCTTAGCGCTTAAGGTTTACATTTGTAAAGGCACCTAAGTTCCCAAGCCTGGCTCCCAAACGGAGCCTAAATTTAATCTAGATCAAAGTTAACAATTAATTTTAAACACGTATTTCGTGGAATTCACAACCTTTCAACCACATATCTGATCAATTTTTATCAAAATTTATTATAAATTTGATTTTAATCTCCACCAAACAACGCTAAAAACCTCGTCCTCATTGTCATTCCTGCATCAAAAGCCCCAACAGCTATGTGAACCCTACAATAATACATTACAAAATACTTAATTCAACATAAGGAAAAAAAAAAAAGACCACGTGATATAAGTGCTAAAATCAGTACTTTTAGCTTCTCTTTTTTAATCCGAATTTTACCATTTGTACACGGAAAATGCACATGAGATTTTACGGGCGAATAGATGACGACATCTGTTTGATTGTTTTAATTATATTTTTTGTCCAAAATCTAATAAACATCATATTTGAGCCACATTTTAAATAATATTTTGATAGAAAATATGTGATTAAAAAATAAAGAAAAAATTAGCCCACCGCTACAAAAGTTGCTTTTTGATTAAAAAACTTCTTTCGGCTTTTCAAAACTACCAACTATACATTCCCATGGTTCTTCCATGGGCTCCTTGCGGACTCGTGATGTGTGTATCCCTTCGACCGTCCCATTTTAGGATTAACAAATTCAAGCATACATTTAGAAAACCAACAGAAAGATGAATTTCTGTACGATATTAATAAAATACGCTGCAAAAAGCACTTGTGAATATGTTCCATTCTTCCTAGTCATGTAGAGTATAACAGAACCATTCTATTAACTGTATAAACTGAAAAACCATAGATAATGTAATCTAAAATTCGAGAGAGAACTAAAGAATATCCTATATGTTGTCAAAAAAGGAGCCTCCAAACCCAAATCTCCCAAGCTAACAACCAATAAATCAATTAGGAAACATGGCCTTGGCGCTTAAGGTTTACATTCGTAAAGGCACCTAAGTTCCCAAGCCAGAAGAGAACTACAACAATCAAGCTCGTAAGAAATACCCACATCCACTGCTGTAATTTTTTCCGGTTTTTGTTGCGAAGAGGTGGAGGGATGGATTTTGTTTTGCCTAGCTTTGTGGAATGTAGAGGTTTTGATGACCTTTTGGCTACTATGTGCGCGTTCTCCTTGACTTCAGTCTCCTTGATATTTTCAACCGGGTTCTCAGAGCTGTGATCTGTTTCACAATCATTTTCACTCCCTTCTGTTCCAGCAGCCTTCTTACTTTCCTTCTTTCTCAATCTCTTTGCTTTCTCCTGTACGAAGAATATATTCATTCATACACGGAATCTTGGAATGGAGAAAAATCTATAGCATCAGCATAAATTATGAAGATATTTCATTTGATATCATTATAGTTTTGATGTATAAAAATAATGTGGATTTTGAAGGCAGAAATTCACCTTTTCTCTTCGTTCAGCTTCCTTCTGTGCCCGTAATTCAGCCCTCATTTGTGCCTTCTCTGCATTTCGTTTCTTCCTCTCAAGTGCCTCCTTAGCCTTGGCAATCTCCTCCATTCGACGTTGCTCCCTTAACTTGGCCTCAGCCTCCTGCTTTCTCAGTTCCTCAGCTTTCCTCTCCAGCTCCAACTCCTCCTTTGATTTCACAGGCTCCTCCTCTGTCTCATCAGTCAATTCCCTGCCAGAATTAGTTTCCAAACTATTTGCCATTTTAGATTTGGCTGGTCCCTTAGTTTTAATTACAGGGTTCTTGGGTTCTGCCACTTTTGTAGATTTATCATCTACTATTACAGTTTCAACAGCTGTTTCTTGATTTAGCTCAAGAATCGGATGTTGAGACACCGAATCAGACATAGCTGGCCTTGAAACCAAATTATCCACTCTTCTATCAACATAACCTGGCAGAATTGGTGGCTTCTCGTCAGGGCCAAGCGAACGACCATCAAGTGTTCCCAATCTCCTGACAGTACTCCTTTCATTGTACTTGACATATTCTTTGCGAAAGTCTTCGTTTGTGTTCCAGAGTTCCATAATTTTTTCCACCTGATCAATTGGACACAAATACAGAGTCAGAGTTTGACTCTTCCTATCAAGAAGACGAGGAAACAAAAATAAACCAACCTGATCTACACAATGACGAGTAAGTGCTTCTCTATTTTTGCCGAAGGCATAATCACTGGCTGCTGCAGCAGCATCCTTGTACATGCGAAAATGTTTGTTCTGCACATTCAAAAAATTTCAGTCAAATTACACTGATCTTTAAGTCTATGTAACTTAGAGAAAAAACAGCATCAATATTATAATGCCGTTTGCTCATCCTACTGATGCTAATTACCAAAATGAGCAGGCCAAACTGCCCAGTATGTACAAGATACAAACAAAAAAATATACAGGCATTATGATAAGATCTACTCCACACATATTAGTTCTAACGATTGAATGCTTAAAAAGTTTCTCTCTCAAAATTTAAATTCCATCTATAATTGAAACCACATAACCAAATAATTATTTCACAGGGTAAAGCAGTTATAGAGCTTGATGACAAGGGAATACTATATAACTAATACAGATTTCTTTTACATGAACTAACAGGTGGAGTACAGAGCTATCATAGTTTAAACTATCAAATTCTTGACCAGCCTATATGAACTTTAGAGGCTTTCATCTTAATCAACATATAACCTGATTCTTGCAAAGGCACTTCAACAACATGCCAGCACTTTCATTTATTCCACAATAACATCTTCAGACCAGACCAATGCTTAACTGACATTAAACAGTCATAAATCGAACCAATTTTCACCACCAATCTAGGTCATCAACAATGATAAAAAAAAAAACTGTGTGTGGGTTCAGTGTATGCGAGTGCCTTGGAATTGTCTAGGTGTACATGCATGATTGACTGTTTGCATTCGTGTTTGTGCATATCTGACATAAAGGGGAAAAGGAGGAGGGACCATAATCATAATAACATATTTCCATACCTTCCCCAATCTGTCAGTAGAAAAACAGTATTACTACTGAAACAATAATAAATAATTAAAACAGGAACAATGAAATCCAGATTCTCGCACTCTACCACCATTAATTGCACTTCCAGTTTTCTCAGACCCCTTCCTATGTAGGCATGAGGAAATCATAAAGGTCATGAATAGAAGGAATGTCTCGTATACATCTTAATAGAGGAAGGCATCATCTAACTACAGGCTTCATTAAATTTCCATTTTAAAGCTTACTTCCGCACGTCTTGAGCTAACAGGGTAACTCCGCGAGGATAGCTATCAGTAAGAAATTGTTCCAATTGAAAATTTTCTCAATAAAAGCAAGTTGGTATATACTGAAAATGGCAACTGACCTTGTCAAAAAAGTCTTTTTTCAGGCTCGCCAATTGAGCATATGCTGCTTGGCGAACTTCGTCAGCAGCTCTGAACTGATCTTGGAGTTCCTTAACCTTTTTATTTTCATCTTCGTATTTTTTCCCTGCAGCCATAACAGCTGCTTCGGCTTTCAAGACCTTGCCTTTAAGGCTATCGAGCTCCTTTTTCAGTTCCTGCATTTATTTGCAATATTAGGAATTGAATCCCGCAATCGAAAAATGACTATAAAACCACTCTGGCTTCCACAGGTTTCAACTTTTCCACTCTAGTACGTCTATAAAATAGACTTTAATAACAAACACTATGCACGAACACGGGTGGAATGTCCACCACACAAGATGACGCCACTATCTTTCTCCTCCTTTTGATCCTTTAGATTTGCAAGACAAATAGTGCTACAAGCAAAATATTGAATATGTCCTTATACTTTGCACAACAATAATCAGGTACCTTCAGACGTTCCGCAACTTGTTCTCGCTGGTCCAGAGCCTGTTGGATTTCATCTTGGTTACCCATGTTAGAGGACAGCTGTTCACGAAGCTGCTTCAGTTGCTTGATTTCACGAATGAATTGCTTTTCTTCCTTTAAGGGCAGGGTTTCATGCTGCATAACATGTTCCATGTTGTGTATCTGTCTTGAGGCATAGTTTAAATCAAGTAAGAAAGTAAAGACTGCAAAGTTACAAACATAATTCTGGCTAATAAATTACAAGAGGCCCACACATGCATGTACACGCGCATGCAGAGAAAGGGAGATGGAGATGGAGAACTACCCGGCTATCAATATCCTCAATAGATGTGGCATTCTTTGCTCTGTTAATCACAGACTGGAGAGAATCCATTTCCAAGCGCTTTGACCTCACTAACTTCCGTGCAGCCCTGTCTTCTAACTTGGCAGCTTCATATTCAATACCATGAGTTTGACAGTTGGCCTGTAAACAGGTGAATCCAAGCAACATTATAAATATTTCGGATTGTAGAGATCAAAAAAGAAGAGAAAATTTATGGATGGGCATTCTACCCTTTTCTTCTGAATTTGAAGTCGAATAGCATCCCTGATTTTCGTCTTCTCCTCAACTTGTAGCTGAGCATGCATGATCTGTTCTCTAAGTTCTTCATCATTAAATCTTGGAATTCTAATCAAAAAGTTGAATGGCTTTGTCACAGCCTCAATGCTTGTACCCTTAACAGTGATCACATCAGCACTAGAACTCTCTGGCGAAGCTGTTGAAATTTGGTCAATTTGAGATTTTTCAATATCATCTCTTTCTTTCAATAACATGTTCCCATCACTTCTTCCCTCTGCACCAGCCAATTCATCTTGCAGGTTTTCAACATTTTCTGTCTTCATGGAGATGTTAAGCATACCTTCGTCATTAACAGTAGATCCATTTGAAACATCAGATCCACATGCAACACCTCCGTCAGTAGTCATGTCTCTGCTGCTTATTATAGAAGAGTTCTCAACTTCAGATTCTAATTTTACATCAGCAGAAATACAAGGGCTATGGGCACAATTAGCATTCCCTTTTGAAACTTCAGTTTGAACATTCACATCATCACCTTGGGAAGTAGGCTGCCTTTCTTCGTAATCAACTATTTCAAGTGCAAATTTAGATTCTGAGTTTGCATCGCTAGGATTGAAACTCCGCATGCTGTCCTCAATGACTGGGCCTTTCTCAATATTACTTTCTGACTTTGTACCATCAGCAGGCAAAAGAGAAACACCCTCAACACTTTTAGCATCACAAATTTCAATTTCCTTTTGAGGCTCATGAGCGTCAGAACTTGATGAGGAAAAGCTGTCAATCGGTAGGGCAACGTTAATCTCGGTTTCAGAATTCACAACTGCAGGAGATTCTCCATTGCAATAAGTGTGGGCATCAGGTTCTTCAGGATGATGAAAATGAGCTACAGGTAAGTCATCTTTAATTTCTTCTAAAATCGGGCCACTAACAGTTTTGGTTTCCAATTTCAAGTCAGTCTCGTCCTCCGTTTCTTCTTCCTTGTACCCCTGCCCTATGACATCTTGATTTTTGTTGCTAAATGCGGTGTTACACTTCTGATTTTCCATTTCATCAGAATCCAACTTTGTCTTGGTATTCTCCTCCTCGCTATTAATTGCATTGTGCTTGGAATCCAAATGCACAGAATGTGTTACAGGGACTTTACATGCCACAGTTTCCGCAATTTCTCCTTCTGACTTTAACTCTATCTGCTGCTGCGAGCTCACCTCCCCAACCTGCTTCTCTGTGTTATTACTTGGGCTATTGGAATCCAAATGTGCAGAATTTGTGCAATCCAAACTTTCTGCGACTTCTTCTGCCAAATTTACCTCTATCTGCTCCTGTGAGCTCACCTCAAACCCCTTTGGTTTAAACTTAACAGCATTTATGACATCTTGCGATTCCTGGCCTAATCCCAGGTCCTCTGTTGACTTTGAATTACTGTGATCCTTGCACTTGTCACTATCATCACCAGACACATTAATGCCTAACGACAAATTATCTAATTCTCCACTCTCTACCATTCTCTCATCCGAACCCAGAACCACAATATGAGATTCCTGATTCTCAATGGTAGCAGGGGACATCTCCAAATCTGTTTGATCCTCAACTTTTCCTGTTACAGCTTCTGCTGTGCCTCCAGTTTCTCCATTTAGAGCCAGAACCTGCTCTTTTTCAACTTCTTCCGAGCTGACGGTTTTTCCAATTTGAACCTCATCTTCCCTGCTTTCACTTATTTCATTTTGCTCCTCCAAAGCAACGACAGTGGCAGCATGGACCTCAGTCCCATCACCAATCGAATTCTCTTGGTCTTGTGCTACATTGTTATCCAGAAGAGGACACCCTTCGCTCCCTTCCGCAACAACAATTTCCTCCTCCTCCAGTGATTCACTATTTTTTCCATTTTCAACACCTAATTTCCCATTTTGAGCATCCGTATCCTCAGCTTGGACTTCATCAGCCTCCGAATTGGGTGAAACACTCAAATTTTCCCCAACAACATCTTTGTTATCAAGAGGATCATCGCTGAGACCATCCTTCCCACTTACAAAAACAAAGGAATTATCGGGATCATGATTGTGATCGTGGTGGCAGTTTTCCCCTTGATCATGGAGGTTGACCCCATTGCAATCAGGCTTTAGTAGATTCTGACTAGAGCTCAAGCATAACTCACCCCTCTCCTCAGTTACAACAGGGCGCTTAGCATTGTTAGCAACCACCTCAGACACCTCCTTACTAACCGCAGTTTCAGCAGTCATTTTCTGAATTGGAGAACGACGGATCACAATTTATTCACAACAATGCAATTCATTCAACACACAGATCTACACTATCAAAACAAACACACACATGCAAAGCTCTAATCGACTTCAGATCAGCGAAAACGCCAAAAAAATAAAAAATAAAATAAAAAAATAATAATAATAAACACAAAACGAAACAAAATTAAAGAAACCGCATAAATGAGAAATGAGAAACGAGAAATCGAAGCAAATGACTCACGAGTACGATCCACCTGGGATGAATCTAGATCCGATTTCCAAGGTAGAGCAAAAGAACAGCAAGTCAAGACCGTAAATTGGCACTGGATTTTGATGTGATTTGGTATAATTTATGTATAGTTCATACATATATATAATCAGGCTGTATAGAGAGAGGAGAGTGGGTGAGGCAAACAGGAGGAGAGCGGTGGCGAGGCAGAACAGCTGGCGAGGGAAAAGCCTCCTTTCTATTTATCTTTCTCTCTCCTCTATATGAACTCAAAATTTCATTTTTACCTTTTAAACCCCCACGCCTCCCCCTATTTACGATTTTCCTCTCCTTCTCCATTTATCGACTTGGCATGATCCGATCAAAATAAAGAGTCGAGGGTCAAAGTATCAAACGAAAGTTGAATGGGTGATCAAAAAATTGAATGATTAATTAGTTAAAACGGTTTAGATTCATCAAGTTTCAGTAAGCGGATCGGTTCCGATATTTTTTTAATAAGTTTTTTAATTTTTGACTTTTTTATGTATTTTCAGGCAAAATTCATAATACCGATGTGAGAAAAATAAAGGATTAAAAATTAAATAATCGAGCTAGAGGTCAACCGGTGATAAAAAATTGAATGAACAGAAATGATCTAATGAGCTCAACACACAGATCTACACTATCAAAACAAACACACACATGCAAAGCTCTAATCGACTTCAGATCAGCGAAAACGCCAAAAAAATAAAAATAAAATAAAAAAATAAAAAAAATAATAATAATAAACACAAAACGAAACAAAATTAAAGAAACCGCATAAATGATAAATGAGAAACGAGAAATCGAAGCAAATGACTCACGAGTACGATCCACCTGGGATGAATCTAGATCCGATTTCCAAGGTAGAGCAAAAGAACAGCAAGTCAGGACCGTAAATTGGCACTGGATTTTGATGTGATTTGGTATAATTTATGTATAGTTCATACATATATATAATCAGGCTGTATAGAGAGAGGAGAGTGGGTGAGGCAAACAGGAGGAGGAGAGCGGTGGCCAGGCAGAACAGCTGGCGAGGGAAAAGCCTCCTTTCTATTTATCTCTCTATATGAACTCAAATTTTCATTTTTACCTTTTAAACCCCCACGCTTCCCCCTATTTACGATTTTCCTCTCCTTCTCCATTTATCGACTTGGCATGATCCGATCAAAATAAAGAGTCGAGGGTCAAAGTATCAAACGAAAGTTGAATGGGCGATCAAAAAATTGAATGATTAATTAGTTAAAACGGTTTAGATTCATCAAGTTTCAGTAAGCGGATCGGTTCCGATATTTTTTTAATAAGTTTTTTAATTTATGACTTTTTTATGTATTTCCAGGCAAAATTCATAATACCGATGTGAGAAAAATAAAGGATCAAAAATTAAATAATCGAGCTAGAGGTCAACCGGTGATAAAAAATTGAATGAATAATTAGTTAAAACAGTTAAGAGTAGTCAGGTTTCCAACTTAACGCTTCAATTATGAGATTCTTTTAATGAGTTTTACGTTTTTCGTTTTTCGTTTCCTAATTTCTCTTGTTGAGTGGACTGATTTGATCGGATTTTTATAATATTACTCTATATTGCTAATTATATGGAACATGTACATTTTTCAATGTATAATAATATATCAAGCCATGGGTACTGATCGAGTCAGTAGTTGAGATAATTCTAACTAGACGATAGTTGTATTTATCTCAGAAGAGATCGTGATGTATCGTACTAGTTTGTATTTTTACTTTTTCTTTAAATGCTTCTTGGGTCAAAACTCGAAAATAATGGAACTAATCTTTCGGTTATGTTCTCTCGTTTTTCGTTTCCTAATTTCTCTTGTTGAGTGGACTGATTTGATCGGATTTTTATAATATTACTCTATATTGCTAATTATATGGAACATGTACATTTTTCAATGTATAATATATATATATATATATATATATATATATAGTCATGGGTACTGATCGAGTCAGTAGTTGAGATAATTCTAACTAGACGATAGTTTTATTTATCTCAAAGGAGATCGTGATGTATCGTACTAGTTTGTATTTTTACTTTTTCTTTAAATGCTTCTTGGGTCAAAACTCGAAAATAATGGAACTAATCTTTCGGTTATGTTCTCCACATGCAATTTTATATCTTCACTTCGACGTGAGTAAGAAATTATATACAAATATTTATTTATTTTAATAAAGTTACTCGTCACTAATAGAGATTATAGTTGTATCTATTGATAGTTGTGTCCCATAATTCACCGACATGCATTAAAATACATCATAAATAAAAAGGTTCACTGCCACTTAAACTAATAAATGTTATTTACTATTGATGGATATGATTAATCCTAATTTTTTTATGGCTTCGCTCCATGATTTAATTTCATACCTAACCCAATTATGAACACACAAACCCCAAACATTTCTTTGGTTTTGTAAATATCCATGAGATTAAGATGACTTCAAATCAATAATAGTAATCTTCGATTATGAATAAAAAAAATTACAAAAAGTAATGCATAGGAACAAAAGGAAGAAGACTTGGCTTTATTAGTTTCCCAAAAATAAATATTAAATAAAATTATCTTTTTTACGTAACAACAACGTCACAACCATCGAAAGTGTATTAAACACTGCAAGAGATTCGTTACATCTAGAAAAGGATAGTGTCGTGTTTAACATACTCGACATAACTCTTAAAACTTTCACAGTAATTTTAAATATTACGTTACACGTGATATTTATTCTTCTTTTATATTCACTTGAAATAGAACCTAACTTATAATTTGCATTTATGAAACATTGTATCCGAAGAAATCTATAATATATTAAATATCGTATGAAGTGAGAATCATTATCTGGACGATTTTAGTCCTACTACAATTTAATTATTTCAATAATACTTTACTTTTCGTTTTTCAATAGATATTTAATAGAATATTAATGATTAAACATGCACAAAAATAAATAATTGAATTGTACGAAAATAATCAAATTAATTCATGAACATGGAATTTAATTAATTTGAATCAATGAATATAGAAAAAGAATAATGTATATACATTTAAACAAAGGGGATGTAAATGAACCGACATGAAATTTAATTATTTTGAATTAATAGATATAGAAAAATAATAATTTATAGACAGTTAAACAAAGGGAATGTACATGAACCAACGTGAAATTTAATTGATTTAAATCAATGAATATAAAAAAAGAATAATTTATATACATTTAGACAAATGACGTTATATCATAAATGAAATGATTAATATTGAAATTAAATAAGTGTGCATGAATTTGAATAATTTATATACTCCTATAATAATTGAATAGCTCTCAAATTATATGATCTTTAATAATTTATATACTCTAGAATAATTTATGATAAAATGAATAATCTTGAAAATAAATACGTGTTCATGAATTTGAATAATTTATTTACTTCTATAATAGTTAAATAGCTCTCAAGACATGTGTACATGAACTTGATGGATTTAATGTTATATTTTATATATTCATAAATAAATATTAATTAGTATACATGCACATACATAAATAATTGAATTGTAGTATTTCTAGAGTAATTGAATAACCCCAAAATATAGAAAGTGTACGTGCATAAACTTGAAGAATTAATCGATTGAATTATAGTAGGATATATATAATTTAATGTTAATTATTATCACACGTAAATAAATAATTAAATTGTATAAAAAGTTCATTTCACATAAACAGTTTTTTTAACTATTTGTTATATTTACTAATTTTCAAATATCATTTTTACAGTGTTTATAAAGCATTTCAAAATAACGCGCAACGCATGTTTAGCTATGACTAATTCACATAAACAGTTTTTTTAACTATTTTTTATATTAACTAATTTTCAAATTTTATTTTTACAGCATTTATAAAGTGTTTCAAAATATCGAGCAACACACGTTTAGCTATGACTTGTTTACATAAAGATGTCAAGAATTTAATAATCATTTCCATTTTATCCATCATTTGTAGTCTTTCACTATAGAGTAATTTCAGAAATATAACAATTTGCTAAGATTATTTCTCTTAAAACAAATCAATGGAATGACAATTAATTTAATTAATCAAGTCTCACTCACAATAATACATAATTTAATTAATCTACTCATTGTCACAATAATACATAATTTATAATAACAATCACATTTAGAGCCTGTTTGGGAGGGATTAAAATCGGATTAAAATTGAAAAACTAATCGTTATTGTTGACTTTTATTAGACGGGTGAGATCCAATAACGACTATATTTTCAATTTTAATTGGATTAAAATCCTCCCCAAACAAGCTTTTAATCACAAATCACACAAAGACACAGTTACGAAAGCATATTTTGTGTGTTACAATTACATATTTAATCGTAAAACACACATTTTATTTGGTAAAAAATTATTTATTAGTCACAAATCAAACAACTAACTGATCATTATAACTATTCTTATTACTTTTATGGTCACAATCACATATTAAGTCATACAGTCAAACTAGTGCCTCCACCGATGTATCCACCATCTCTGCCACCAATAAACTCTCCTCCCTCCACGAGTATATTCACCACCTCAGTAAGTAAACTCTCCTCCACCAATATATCACCGCCTACATCACCAACAAACTCTCATCCTCATCCAGTAAATCACATCCCCCGTCAGCGTACTCACCACTACCTCCTTATGGCCAGTCACCACCAAGCTACTGAACGCCTCTTCACCATAAACAGTCGTCACCAACATCATCATTGTTCACCATCGAAGCACAAAACCCCACTTGTTTGTAGACAGCCACCATAAACAATCTTTAGATCTGTAGCCACCAGGGGCGGACCCGAGGGGCCCTGTGGGGTCATGTGACCCCCCAACTTTTGCAATTTTTTTTAATATAAAGTCATATTTGGCATCGATTGAAATCTAAATTTTAATATAAATCAAAGTTAACAATAAATTTTAATAACAAATTTCATAGAATTCATAACAATTTAATTTTTATCAAAATTTACTAAAAATTTGATTTTAATCTCCACCAAATAGAGGCAAAATCACAATAAATTTGAATTTTTCTCCTTTTTCTTGCTCTCTTTTACTATTTTCTTTTATAAAAAAATTAAATTTTAATCTCCACCAAACAGGGCAAAATCACAATAAATTTGAATGTTTCTTTTTACTTCTATTCTTTTAACAAAATCTTAACCCTTCTGATTTTTTAAAATTTGTATATAATTTCTCTACAAATTATTACATTTACTATAAATCTTCACTTTCCAATCAAAGTTTTAAGTAATTAGAACCTAAATTTGTATTTTCCCATATCAAACTGTGTATATAGAATGTGTCTGAACTCATTATATCCAATTTGACTTATATTTAACGAATTGTGTTTATTTGATTAATTATTAATATTGAATATTAGTTATATGTTTTTCATTTCGATTAATTGAATTGATTGTTTGTGTCGAATACATTATAAGATTTTTAAACGTAAATATGCATTTTCTTGTGATGAACAAAATATTAATAAAATGATTATTCGAAATCAAATGGATGAAAATGATTAGTAAAATATTAATGGAGAAATATTTTTTTTAAATGTAAATCTGCATTGTCTCAAGTCAAGCATGAATCATTCAAAAATCAAGAACAAAGTATTCGATTTGTAAAAGGTTTGATTGTGCCCCCTAACCTAAAATATCTGCGTCCGCCCTTGGTAGCCACTGTCTCTGTAGCGCCCAAGTCGAGATGGTGGAGATTGGAATAGATTAGTCGATGGAATGGTTGATTGATTTTGAATCTGGAGGGTAGCTCTACCGCCAACTGCAGTGGCAAACCAAATTTGGAGAAGAAGACTCAATTGGTGGCGTTGCCACCTCCAAAGATGGTGGTGACTATCATGGAAGGGTTGTTGGTGCTAGGGATCGAGAAGAGTAAGTAGGGTTGGGGGCATTGCCGAGAAAATTAAGAGGAAAAGAATTCATATCCATTTTTTATGACTTGGGTAGACTGGGGTGGGGTTGGGGTGGGGTGGATAAACCTAATTTTTGGAAAAATAAAAATAACTACTACCTGATTCATAAATGTAAACTTAAAAAATAGGGATTGAGATAATTTTCCTTTGGGATTTTCAATTGAAAAGGTCATGCTGATTTTAACATCTAAATTGATGATTTCGATCATATGAAGATCCCAATTTTAAATATTTAAATAAATTGAGGATTTGAAATCTCGTTTTAAAATATTAAAGACCGATCAAGATACCAATGAAAAATTGAGTGTCCAATCCTAATTTGGCCATACTTTTAAGAATATATATTGAAGAATTAATCTATTTGTACAATTGTGGTTGACAGTGATCGATGACAACATTGATATTGTCAAAATCTAGACCATTAATTTTAAAAATAATTTTTGAAATAGATGAATGTGATGTTGCTAAGTATGATTGTCAACCAAAATTGTAAAAAAATATTGTACGAGTAGCATGATTGTATATCGAAACTAATGGCCGCTATAACTAGAGTAGCCTATGAATTGCTTGACATCATAAACAAGCTATTATCCACAGAAGTCATGTGCATATCACGTGATTTCTCATCCGTACTCTTCCCCCAACTTTACCGGATTTGTCTTTTATTAAAAAAATAAGGGCCATGGAGGAGGTAAATCACGAGATATGTCTTAACATACCAGGGTACAAAAGTTGTCATATTGGTGCCCACAAAGAGTATAATTTCATACCTTATAAGAGACATGAATCGAACCCTCACACTACGGCTACTAGCTCAGTTAAGACTACCTTACTCATGTCGTTTGTACCAGTGAACTATGCTCCGGGGGGACGAATTTGTCTTTTATTTGCGTGCCAAGGGATGGACCAAATCAAAGGAAGATAAAAATGAACTTTCTTTTATCTTTAATTTTTAGCAAAATAATTAGAAAAAAAAAAAAATAGTTTCAGCCTTAACGGATTGTAATCGTCATGAACGATCCAAAAACTAGACCATCAAGAATAGGTCCTACATTTAATCGACTATCTAACTACCATATATATTTCTAAATTTTAGTGGAGCTAAAAAAAATTGGTTGCATTGTCTGATTTTAAATAGTTTGTCTTAATAAGATTCAACTCCACTCATCTCAATTATTCGAATTCATGGACTGGTTCATACTTATTGCTTTTTAATTTATATATTTTCTTGTGAAACAATAGTAGATCCCACTGAGCAAGACCTTCAATCATAGTACGACGACATAAATGTTGACATAATACAGCAGAGTATTCTATCATTAGATTGTTTAAAACAAAGTTAATTTTTTCATCAAATCATCTGCTGCCAAATATACTTTTATTACTACATCTGACAAATCCGTCGACAAAGTGGCAGAATCCGTAAGACGTTAGACCCACTTAAAATATGGGTTGGGAAAATTTTAAGAGGAAAATATAAGGTGAAACTTTTTATATACAAAAGACAACTGGAAAATCATTAATATTTAGTTATGGGACCATTAATTTTTTGTTTAGTGAATGTCCTTGTCTAGAGTGTGAAATAAAAACAGCCAAAATGTTGGTCCATGCACCCACCGAATTGATGTTTTCACGCCTCCACGTTCTTTAGCTCTTGATTCGATTCCATTTACTTATACAACATAATATAGATATTTTAATTCCAAGAAATAATTAAACTGTGCCTGATGTCCTTGATTCATCTTAAAATTATATACTTATTTACCTATTGCGAGTCACTCAAAAACATTAATTATTAGTTTGCAAAAAAATTACTTTTTTTTTTTACTGAAATCCAACAAAAATGTAAGCAAAATTTACAAAAATTATACCTATAAATTACAATATAAAAATTTGAAAATGTATTTTTCCAATTCAAGAAGTTTGAATCCCCGCTATTTTTTTTTCATTTTATTTTGGGGACTTATTTCATAATGATGTACCAAAAAAATACAATCAGTTTATTAATATGGAAAATTTGGTGCAAATGGTCCCTCACCAAAATTGCATAATGGCCATAAGTGGGGGCTATTCACGCCAATTTCCCATTAATAATATAAAGATCCGTTTTATTACAAGAATGAAAAATGGGTGGAAAGAAAAATAATTACAGAGAAAATAATTGTTCAGAACTTGTTTTTTCGAGAATTGTCAATCAATTGTGTTTATTTGTATAATTTTTTACTTGAAAAATGTTGAAATTTTGGATTTTTTGATGTTCGTTTGACTTTGTTCTCCATGAAAATTGTCCATCAAAAGAAAAAAATTTACAATTGGGGATATAATTTATTTTCATTGCAAAAAAAAAAAAGGTTGGAAAACCAATTCAATGAAAACCTGGAAAAAGGGGTCACGTGGGGGGTTGGGGGGAAAATGTTTTGCCAAGAAAAATTTGATCGTCTAATAAGAAAAAGTTGGAACTTGAAAAAAAATAATTTCCATGTTCCATGGAAAATAGTAAACATCAATCAGGGCCTAAATGCAATTTGACTTCCATTTCATGCACAAATTAACATGACTGTCCCTAACCAAAATTGCATAATGGCCCTTTACTCCAATTTCTCATTAATAATCTAAATTCTTGTTTGACAACTATTATTTAAAAATTCAGTTTTAATTATAAATTCACATAATAAAATATTTTTGCAAGTAAATTTAAATTTTTTCTTATTTTTTAACTGTATATTCTCTAAAAATTCACTATTTAAAACATTGTTTTGATCAAATAATGACCATAAAAAGGGGCTAAAAATCCAGACAATTTGACTTTCGAATAGTCAAATATTAAGACAAGATCAAATCCATTTCATGCACAAATTAACATGATTTTCTATGTTTCGTTGGTCGTAGTTGTTGAAAAAAAAAAAATAGAACATTCACAACAAGTTGTCTACCATTTGCGTAGACACCGACACCGACGCATGTGGAATAATTAAGATTAAGGAAATTGATGGAGATCGATGGGTAGTATTTCACATCAATCTTTCAAATCAAATATTTAAATTTAAAATGTGATACAGTGAATATAGGCAATGGATTTGCAATTCACTTGTCTCAACCTTTATTCATTCAGCCCTGTTTGGCTCCCATTATTTGACATTTTTGATAGTTGAAAATTTTTAGAATAGTGATTGATAGGAGAATGTGTGGTGGAAAAGTAATGAAAAGTTTTAGATTTGTGTGTAATATTATTTTATTTGATGAATGTATGGTTGTAATGAAGAGAGAGAAACATATAATATAATGTAATTTAATTTAATGGGGGTCAAACAGGGGCTCAATAATGCTACTTGTACGTCCTTTTCCTTACATTGAGGATGACATTCTTATTATTTTCAAAAATTTGTGGACATGAAAAGTATTTTTAATCTGTTCAGTGGTGTATTGTCACGTAATGCGATGTAAACAATGATATAAAAGATGATGTATATGTTGCATGATTGTTATTTATTATTAGTACACGCTAATGCTTCATTGTTCCTTTATTTATTTATTATTATTATATCATTTTTGGATTAAACTAGTTGTAAATCCTTTGTGTACATTAAGGATGACAAGTGTTGTCAAATTTGTGTCATTGATTATTTAAAATTCTATGAAGGACCTCACAATAGTGTTAAAACTTAATGTAGATCTAACATGATTAATCATTTTTCATCCTTTTTTCTATTCGAATGTGATGACAAAATTGCCTTTTCATTCAATCTAATGATACACGAACCTATTGGTATCGAAAATCGAA